CATTCATTTTAATATTTATGAAAAAGTTCTGTCTTTATCAACATACCTAGTAATGCAGAAAATCAGAGTACTAATGAAGAGTTAAGCAAGACATATGTGAAAAACCTTTGGAAATAAATTTCTACTAATAAAATAAATCCAGCTCATTATTCCTTCTAGCTATAAAGAATATATCAGTTTTCTGAAGTGCCTCATTTTTCCAAAATGTGGGCCAACAGATACCTGCAGATGAAAGAACTCTGACAGAAATATATAGAATTTAGAGAGTTCCCCTTTGTTACACTCCTCATTACTATGAGATGTGCAAGATGGGAGTTCCCTACTGAATATGTTCAAAAGCACAGGTTCTGAATAAAAAATTCCATGTTCAGCAGGATAGTCAGTGGTTTTTCATCACTGGATGCTTATAACCAATCCGAATCTGTCTGTCTCCTTAAAGGATCCTCAATGAGATGAAGGTGTTCCATGATACATTTTTTTGGCAAGCTTGTAATGTATTATTAATCAACGTAGCTTCTTCCAAGTATTAATAATATATGTTCTCCCACATCTGCTGTGAAATCTTTTTTTTTTTTTTAGCTTAACTGAATTCAGGAATAAACTTTATTCTGTGATAATTAACATCTTCTTATTTGATAAGGTAATCTGTAGCATGGCATCTTTGGTATAAGCCTTTTGGGAAACTCGTCCTGAGTATGTGATGGTAAACACCCTGCAGTAGTTAGTATTAAAGGACCTTCAGGCCCTCTTTTCAGTCTGCACTTGGACTTCCTGGCTTTTTGACCAGCAATGAGTAATGTGATTGTGGAGGTCTCAATTCCCAGCAACAGTGAGGGCTTATTAGATCTCACCAGGCCTGAACTTGGAACTTACCTGGACCTGATTTTAAAGGTTTATTTTCACTTAATTTAAAATTCCATACAATTATCCTTTTAGCTATAGTAGTCAAGCAAACGACAAAGTCCATTTTCTGGTAGGAAGTTACTTTGAATCATTGCAATGTTTTCAAAGAGCAAAACTGAAAAATACAGTTACTATAAGAAAAAAAATCAATACTCAACTTTTTTTCTGTCAATTATTTTTGTTTACTTATAGTTAGCTTTTTGTCTCTGAATTTCAGGCCCACTATACATCGTCTCACATATTGCTTAACCAAATGGAACTGGCTAAGTAAATCCCCATTGACCAGGATTTTTGCTTTTACTGTTTTGATTAAGCAGAAGTCCTTAGTTTGCGAGAATATAAATCTGTAACCTATAACACATCCCCTCAAAAAGAATGTTTCAGGTCTGCCTTGACTGAACTTGTTCCACTACACTGGAGTCCCCATAATATCATTTTAACTTGTAAGCCATGCTATGAGTTTATTATATTCAATATCAACACAAACCTCCAATACTATTCTGTTTTGTTGAAAGTCACTGCTCTAATTCAGCTTCTGTGGCATTTGATATAATAGAAAGAAAAGTTTCTCAACCCTATTAGCATGCAAAGCACAGGACAAGCTTGGTCTCTGGTGATTTTTTTTTTCTCCTTCATAGCAGCAATTGGGCAAAGATGTCATAACCACACTACATGCATTAAATGAGACCTCAAGGCTATCTTTTTCAAAGAGGATGATATGTTCCATGATTTCTTGGTGAATTTAAAACTGACTTGTGTATTTTTGCAATATCGTAGTAGTTGAAGGCATACAATGAAATAGAAAATAAGTAAGGCCCTTAAGATCAAGTAAAGTAAAATCTACAATTAAAAATTAGACATGGGAAAGAGAACTGGGCCCAAGGAACTCGCCAGAGCACTGAGTTTCTCAGTTTCCAGGCAGCTACATTATTTCCACCAGCAGCTGTGGTACTCTTCCAGCAGCAGGGCTTCCAGCTGAAAGGAAGGAGCAGACTGCAGTGGTGGGCAGTTTAACAAACACTAAGCATGAGGAAAGTGGGAATGCTGGTTCAAAGAGACCTTATGTGATAGCTTGGTTGTTGACCAGAACTGAGGCATCTCACAAGCGTTTTGACAGGATGTCAGGAAACACAGGGAGGTGCTGGTGGCTGTAGGTCATCTGACAAAATAAGGTAAGACTAGGCAGAGGTCATAGGCATGAAATCAAGACTGGTGAACGAAAGCTGAAGTTAAGGACATTCATATTAGCATAACCTGAATTTGTGTCACTCTGTACAATCTGTGAGATAAAAATGGAAAGGTCTTTAAATGCCTGTCTGAGAAAAAGGGTAAGGAGAAGAGATGCACATTACCGGAAAGTAGGGGCACTTGCTAAAGAATGGGTGTCCATAGAGAATATACAAAATTCATTTTGGCCATAGGAAAAAGAGGCTTCAGAAAGTTGAAGAACTTATTTATGCAATAAAAATTCAGGAAAATTTTCAGGTCTTGGAAAGCATACAATTGAAAAATATGTAAAAGCACACAGTTCAGATAAAGGATGAGTCACCAGAATTCTGCATTCTTCACTGGAAGGTGATGGTACTCCAGCAGGAAACGCAGAACTGGTAGATCATACAGGATCAAACTAGGGTCCTGTAAAGACCAGAAAGCAAGTCACAATATAAAGCCAAGGGTTAAAATTTGAACTAGTATGGGTAGCTTTAATGCCTAATGCTACACAAGAATATCAGCATGATAGGTATGTTCTGTGGTAGAGAAGAAAATCAGTCAGGCAGCACAGTAGCAAGGAGCAAAGTACACAGCAAAGACAAAGCAAATCTTATCAGAGAAGGAATAACTGTGGTTCTTAAAGGAAGCTCTAAGTCAAACCTAGAGAAGAGAACAGTATTAACATTATCTAGCCAGGAAAAATTCATTAGTTCTTGTAAATTTTATAGCAACAATAATGAGCTTAAATGCAATATCTGTTCAGGAGCAGTAAGAGCCAAAAAAGAAAAAAAAAATCTAAAAATCGATATAACCTAGGGAGAGTGCTATAGAAAATCTGAATGTGATAGCTGAGAAAGTTGTCAGTGGTGGGGATACTAGCTAGGGACCCCATTTTGAACAGCTACAGCAAATGCACAGCACCCATTAAGAAGCAAGTCTAAATGGGTAAACAACATAGTTAATAAAAGGAAGAACACATCTTTCAAGGAGATTAAGTTGTGTCTTAGGGAGGACAATAGAAAGAACAATAAAATTTGCTTTATCTATAAAACCACAAGTAAAGAAGACAAAAAAGGAGTTTGAATAAATCTCTGGCAAACAAGCTAATAATAATTGTTTTTTAAAGACATTTGGAAGCAAAAGCCTGAGGTGAACTGTGTAAAGCCAATCCAAAATTGAGATACAGAAATGCTCAGAGAAGGTAAGATCACAAATGCTTAACTTCATGCATTTTTTGATTTGTGTTCATTGCAAAGTAGCTGGGGAGTTTTTCTGTCCTGGCACCCTTCTTTACGAGGGACTTATGAGAAGAAATTAGACATAGAAGCAGTTGTGGAACGAACAGACACAAGAGTAACAAATCATTGGGATTAGCTGTTACATGTCCAAGAGCCTGAAGGATGAAATAAGTGAACAATGATATGCAATATTTTGCTTCAAACCACTATAGCACAAGAAGGCTTGAAGGAACTAATATAACATTTTTTCCTGCAAAGATTTCCAGGGAGCTTAAAGGAGGTAAGGATAGATGCGACTAAGATGCATGGAGCAAAACAGTAGGGTCAGGATTAATGGATGCACAGACAATACCCTGTATTGAAAAAAAACTCAACACAGTTTTTATAAATAAAGTTCACATTTTGCAACACTTTCTGAATTCTATGTTGGGACAGATTTAAAACAAAAGAGGGGAAGCTGTTTGTTGTGCAAGACATGATTAATCTGTTCACCTCATTAACATAGGATGTTGTGGACTTCAAAATTTTACGTAAGTTTCAAAGCAAAAGGCAACTTGCTGTAAGAAAATACATTTATGTTTGTTAAATATGAAGACACAATCTGGGTTAATAATTATTAGAAACTGAGGAAATGTTCTGAAGTATTGTTTGGCCTATTGTTATGTATACCTTCTAGATGTCAATGTAAGAGACAAAAGGAAGGGCCAATGGATCTTTGTCTCAACATGGCCATTCTTACATGCTGGCAGAAATGCAACATATTTTTGTACTGAGGAAAAGAAGAATTCTTATATTAGAGAAATCCGTGAAGTTCAGGCGTGGTTTGGTACCTAAGGAGCGTTTATAATACTTAAAGTTGGGTTACAATTCGTGTGCAAAAAAAGAGATACAAAGTAAAAAGCAGACATGGTCTTGGTGCAAATCTACACAAATATTCTAATATGAATTTGCCTTACTAACAACTTTCAGCAGCTAATTATTTTGGTGTAGTTATCAAGGTTTATGCTTGATTAGTCTCCACATTTCCAAGGGACAGAATATACAAAACTTCCACAAACCTAAGGAGAGCAGTAAGTGACAATCCTGCTAATCATAAACAGACTATGAAACACTTTAAATCAGCATATTTCTGAAAAGCTTCATTTAAAGTAATTGATATGAAATGTTAAAAATTGTCATTGAATGGTCACTATTTTGAGGCTATAAGTGTTTTCAAGGGCAGATACAATCTTCCCAAGAAGTGTAAAAATCTGTTCCTGATTATCATAACAATGCTCAGTGTGAGCCAGTTCTGTCTTCGGTACCTGGAAGTCTTAGGTTATAATGACCTTCCATCATTTGAAGGGTGTCATTCAGTTTCCCTTGACAAAAATAGTATTTACTATACAATTTCCGAAGTGTAAATGAAATGAACTCTTAGGTTCAGGCTGGTCCTGTGGAATGCTGATATATTTCCTCTTAAATCTTCAAAAGTCTTACTTTCAATTTGAGCTTTATATTATTTAAAAAAAAAGAGTATATTCTATTTTTTTTTTTTTCATCATATACTATTCTTCCTGGATCTCAATTTGTTTTCTAAAGAATTTTTCACATTAATACTTTCTGTCATGCTTATTTTAAAATTAGTGCATTTGGAATACAACATACTCTTAGGAAATCTGGGTGGGTTGTCATTGACATCCGTGAGAGTAATGTTTACAGTGGTAGTACCAGCTAGTCCTCCCAGCTGTCCTCCCATGTCCTTGGCTTGAATTAGAACTTGATACTGCTCTTTCACTTCTCTGTCCATATTTGGCAAAGCTGTTCTTATTACACCTACAAAAAGGAATGGGAAAGAGAAAGAACAAGTAAACAAAGGGCTGTAATTGTCTATTACATTTTAATACTGGATCTCTTGGACCAAGAATCTAATTCTTCCTAAAAGATTCATAAGAAAGGAGCTCACACAGAAGCATGCACATCACTCAGGATTTCCAGAAGTGTGCTTGTCAGCTATTCAACCATTCAAAATGAGTGCTGTGTCTTTTCAATCAATACATGATCTGCTGAAAGAGAATGGTGCATTTTCACTAGGGATGTGAATGGTGTGAGCATAGGTTTGCCACATCAGGACTGAAGAACGCTGCGTTATGCAGAGCAGGGCAAAGTAGGAAAAGATACCAATGCATTTCAGAGACTGCATCTTCGTTTCCAGCCAGTCACTTGCCATCAAGCTACTGTAGGCCAAGACAGTATCCCTTCTATACAAATGAGGTCTTCATTAGAAGACTCTCCTTCACTTGAGAAAGTTTTCTTCATATAGTATGCAGATGCAATGAAAACAATAAAAGTTTCCTTAAAGAACAGTAATTAAAATATCATGGTACGTCATTACCCAAATTCATCTTAATCTTTGATGATTTTGGATAGCTGATGTCTAAATAGGTATGTCATAATTTTTCTTCTGATATATTAATAATGTAAATGATATAAGACAGACTTGCAGACAGTGAGAGAGGTACTACTGATCATAGGATTAGCTGATAACATAAAAAGCTATAAGGTTTTGGACACTCAAGCCTTTCTCTTGAAAATAAATGTATAGGAGAAAATGCATTTTTTTCCTTGTCAAAATTTTACAAGTGCATATTATCTTGCAAAATGATATATATTTAGCAGTAATTTTCAGAAAATGGCTAGGTGCAGACTGATGCAGACAGCATGCACAATTGACAAATAATTGGAATTATTTTATTTTTTTTAAATTAAGCATGCTTCTCTTTTAAATTATTATTGAATTAGAAAACATTATTTTTTAGTATTAAACCATTCAGGTTTAAAAGCAGTCTTTTCCCCTGGTGATATAATGGGTCTGGAATTATAAGAAACAAACTTTAAGGGTCATTTTTTTCTTTATAGCTACTAACTGCTGCTGTGTTAGCAAGAATAGGAACTGCTAGCTTATAGTACTTGCTCAGAGTCTAGGAATAACTTGACCTAAATCTACTATTTCTGAAACCTATTAAAAATTCCCATTTAATTGAACTGTATAAAAATTTCTCTCCATTTGTGACACTGATAATGATAAAAACAACATTAACTATTATTTTCCACTTCAGCATGGCATGCACAGTTTGTTCTAGACAGAAATCTTGAATTTTAAAACTAAAAGTTTGTTCATATTCATGTGATATTCATGAAAAAAAACAAAACAACAAAACACTTTTTGTAAATAGGATGAGCATTACTAGGTTTCCTCTCAAATCTCTTAATCTATATTTTAGCATTGTGAAGACTATATATTCCTCACTATAACATCCTTGGTATGCTCATTCTAAGGAGAAAAGAGCTATGAGAATTAAAGACTTCCCTTGTTATACTATACAAAATAGCAGTAAGAAGAAAAAAACTGAAAATGGGCAGATAGCAGGTTGTGAGCAGGAGATGCAGTTTTTCTGATTGTTCTACCTGTTTCAGGTACAACTGAGTGGCTTTTTCAGAAATAGTCCATATGGTCTTCAGAAAATGAAGAATTTGCTTTCACTCTAGTAGTAAAGTTCCAAATCACTCACTGCTTATTTCTATCTGGAAGTATAAAGGCACTCTATACATTTTTCTGTAAAAAAACCCTTTGTCTCCAGAAAAAAAATATCTATGAGAACAATTTTCATGTCTAGCAGTTCATAGGCAATTTTCTCTTTTCTACCTATTCTATTTCAAAAGCACAGAAACCCCCTTAAAATTATTATTCCTACCAAAAATCACCAGTTCATATTGGCAGGACAAAGGTGATTCAAAGATATCTAACCAGTAAACAAAACAAAACCAAAAAATGGCAGCAAAAAACACTGGGAAAGAAAGTACTACAAATTTTGGTATTCCAGCTTCAACTTCATGAAAAATATCCAAAATTTAAACCAAAGTCTTATTATAATATAGAGGTCTTATGTGCATGTAATGGTGTTACGGGTGTTTTTAAATCCTTCTGCCTTAATATTTACAGTAAAAAATTTACTTGTTCAGCTCTAGAACTGAATAGCTTCATTTGTTGTTTATTTTCTCTTTTGAAATGTCATCAAGAGCAAACATGCAGGAAAGTCTGGTCTCGACAAGGCTGCTGACAGTTGAAAATACTATATATGAGACCTGGCCCAGAAGATAGCATCTTGCAAAGCTATTAAGCCGTAATTCAACAGGAGACGATCCTCTTATGTGGAAGAGAAAATCCAAGTTCTGGGAAAAACTCCTGAATAAAAATTAGTATCTATACTCCTGCTGATGCCAATTTGGATTTCAAGAATATAACCAACGTTAGAATATGGACTAGACTACTGAGTCAAAGAAAAAATCATAGACATTTAGACATAAATAAAATTATTGACTTCATAAACATAGCAGAAAATAGAGTGTTTGTCAAAAAGATATTTTAGTAGCAGAACAACACACAGAGGAAAGATAAGGGAGGTTATCTGTTTTGAAAGTGCTCTATGTTACAGAAAATTCACATGGATATCAGAAGAGCAATTTCATAGCATCAAAAGGTAATCCCTACATGTAAGATTTGAGGCCTTAAAATGTGCAAGTCCAACAGCTGTTCCATAGGAGAGACTGTAATGCATTTTACTGCCCTGAAAGAGCAATAAAATCTAACTCTCCTGCTTCTACATTGCTCACTTTCAGCAAAGCACAGCAAAAAACTAGGAGGTCAGTAAAGGGAAGTAAACAGACAGTTGTGACGTTCAGACCCATAAAGGTTAAACACTCTTAAGTGTACCAGATTCATATCAGAGTAAATATTTATCACCTATCAGGAATGATTTGAGAAAGCATCATCACAGAATCATAGAACACCAGGTTGGAAGGGACCTCAAGAATTTGGAGCAAGTTCAGAGGAAGGCCATGAGGATGGTAAGGGGGCTTGAGCACCTCCCGTATGAAGACAGGCTGAGAAAACTGGGCCTGCTCAGCCTGAAGAAAAGAAGGCTGCGTGGAGACCTCATAGCAGACTTCCAGTACCTGAAGATGGCCTACAAGTATGTTTGAGAGGGACTCTTCATTAGAGGCTGTAGAGATAGGACAAAAGTTAATGGGTTTAAACTTTAACAGGGGAAATTTAGGTTGGATATAAGGAAGAAATTATTTACTGTGAGAGTGGTGAGGCACTGGAAAGGGTTGTCCAAGGAAGTTTTGAATGCTCCATCCCTGGCAGTGTTCAAGGCCTGGCTAAATGGGGCCTTGAGCAACCTGGTCTAGTGGAAGGTGTCCTTGCCCTTGCCAAGGGGTTTGGAACTTGATGTTCTTAAAGTCCTTTCCAACCAGAACCATTCTATGACTCTATGATCTGTTCCAAGCTTTCAAGGCAAAACATGACAGACTGAATGTCCCAGCACCCTGTCCTGCTGCATTTTAAGTGTCCAGCTTTGGGGAATCCACCATTTCCCTGGGGAGATTGATCCAATGGCTGATTGTTCTCGTGAAAAATTTTCCTCTTGTCTCCAGTTGGATTCTCCCCAGGAGTAACTCATGATATGACACAGCAAGTTAAAGTGCCACAGGAAAAAAAAAAAGTTCTTCTTCAAGCACTAAAAGTTTTTCTTTCTTTTTGTCTTTGGGAAATCTGCACTAGAACTGCAGTTGTGGCTCCAGTTTTTCTTGCTGTTGAATTCCTCCTCATTCTTTACAAAACCGAAATAAAAAATTAAGTATAAAGGCAATTCCTTTTATTCCCCCAGATACTTGAAGAAGTCCCAGTTTGAAAAACAAAATCTCTCACTGTGAATTGCAATACTATCTCCTGCTAAGTATGTGACAAAGCAATGTGCCACTTGGAGATAATGCACTAACAGTCCTGTGAGGCTCTCATAGAAACATAGAATAGTTAGGGTTGGAAAGGACCTTAAGATCATCTAGTTCCAATCCCCCTGCCATGGGCAGGGACACCTGTCGTGGTTTAAACCTAGACAGACAGCTTTTTCACTCACTCCCCCCCCTCTTGCCCTCCCCCTACTCCTGGAGGGACAGAGACAAGAATCAAAAAGAATGCAACTCCCACGGGTTGAGATAAGAACAGTTTAGTAACTAAGGTATAACACAAATCACCGTCGCTACCACCAATAACAATAACCATAAAGGAAATAACAAGGGAAGAGAATACAAAACCTCACCACCAGCCGACCAATAATTCGCCCCCCCCAGCCTGACCAAGCACCGACCGATATCTCCTCCAACCCTGCAGTCCCCTAGCCCTTCTGGGTAACTCTCCATTACCTCCTGGGCACGACGTGCTGTGGTATGGAATACCTCTGTGGTCAGTTTGGGTCAGGTGTCCTATGCTTCCTCCTGGATTCCCCTCCTCCCTGGCAGAGCATGAGGCTCACAAAGTCCTTGGCTAAACCAAAACATCATTTTTATCAGCTCTGTTCCCAGGCCGAAAGTCAAAACACAGCACTGCACCAGCTACCAAGAAGGAGAAAAATGACTGCTACTCCTAAACCCAGGACAACACCTCACACTAAATCATATCACCCAAGGCCTCGTCCAGCCTGGTCTTGAACACTGCTAGGGATGGAGCATTCACAACCTCCCTGACCAACCCATTCCAGTGCCTCACCACCCTAACAGGAAAGAACTTCCTCCTTATATTCAATCTGAACTTCCCCTTTTTAAGTTTTAACCCATTACCCCTTGTCCTGTCACTACAGTCCCTAATGAAGACTCCCTCCCCAGCATCCCTATAGGCCCCCTTCAGATACTAGAAGGGTGCTATGAGGTCTCCACACAGCCTTCTCCAGGCTGAACAGCCCCAACTTTCTCAGCCTATACTCATACGGGAGGTGCTCCCGTCCCCTGATCATCCTTGTGGCCCTTCTCTAGACTTGTTCCATCAATTCCATGTCCTTTTGATGTTGAGGACACCAGAACTGCACACAATGCTCCAAGTGAGGTCTCACGAGAGCAGAGTAAAGGGGCAGGATCACCTCCTTTGACCTTCTGGTCACTCTTCTTTCGATGCAGCCCAGGATACGGTTGGCTTTCTGGGCTGCAAGTGCACACTGCAGGCTCATGTTCATTTTCTCATCGACCAGCACCTCCAAGTCCTCCACAGGGCTGCTCTGAATCTCTTCTCTGCCGAACTTGTAGCTGTGCCTGGGATCGCTCTGACCCAGGTGTAGGACCTTGCACTTGGCATGGGTAAACTTCATGAGGTTGGCATCAGCCCACCTCACAAGCGTGTCAAGGTCCCTCTGGATGGCATTCCTTCCCTCCAGTGTATCAACCGAACCACACAGCTTTGTGTCATTGGCAAACTTGCTGAGGGCGCACTCAATCCCACTGTCCATGTCAGAGACGAAGATGTTAAACAAGACTGGTCCCAACACCGATCCCTGAGGGACATCACTCTCACTGTAAAGCTACTGCTTTATCAGGTATTGATTGAAGGCTTGGCTTTGGGAGAAAAGATTTGGGAAGGGCTTTACTCACGCTTACTACAAGCACGATGATCAAGGGCATGTGGGATATGCAAATCTGTTCAGAAAAAAGGGTGCTTAGGCAAATCAGGAAGTGTCCAACCAGGACTGTCAACTCCTGAGCGATCTCAAGCTACCCATGTGCTGGTCCACCTGCATGCAAGGTTGGATCTGCAGCTTCCCATGCACCTTGTCACCTGCTGCTTCAACCCTCGCCTGTCCATACAGACAAGTGAGAGTAAGCCCTAAAGGCTCTTTAATACACTATCTGGCATTCAAGTACAGCTTCACTGGAAGGAGAAACTATTTGATGGAAGGTTCATATGGACAACTCTTCCTGTAACAAAGAACGACATAATGCATGGCATTCACAATGTAGGTTATTGTCTCCTTAAAAGAATTACTAAATATATGAACAAGAGTGACATTTGGAAATACAGGACAAGATATCTAGTTAACATGTCTACCAACCTCCCAAATACCTTAGCCTCTTTAAATGTATTACCCTTTTCTGCCCACACATCCAGTAATTTAAAACAAACAACCACACCCCAGGAAAAGAAGAGGGTAGGAGATGATTAGCTGTTCCACAGTCTCAAATGGGCTTCATATAGAAGAACAGTCATTGCAGAGAATTTCTGACTGTAAGTTTAGCAAGCAAAAATAGAAAAAAGAGTGCAGACACTTAATTATCAGGAAAAAAGAACAAAAGTAGGATGCATGTAACATATACAGCTATAGCTATGGAGAAATGGTAGAACAGATGAAAAAAAAATATTCGATGAAAACATATTTTTGACATTCCAGGACTGATTAGAGGAGCATGTTTCTTTTGTTTCTACAACAGATTGTAATTCATTCAAAAACTAGTCAATTATTCAAACTGAATGATGTGCAAAGTTACTCTAATGGCTTCTGGCCATATCAGCCCATTGAATATTAATTCGCTGATACTGCCCACATGAATCAAAATCAAAAGTTTAAAATTTCCACGGTTGCTGATAAACTATTTACCTGTCTTTGGATCAATTGAGAAATATGGTTGCCCCTGAAGAATGCTGTAAACCACTCTAGCACTGTTTCCATAAGTGGGATCATCAGCATCTGTCGCCTTTACTTGAAGCACATATGCTCCTGCAAAGAAACACAGGTAATCATATTTTCAGTATGGAGCAGTGACCAAGGATATTTCAGACAAATTAGGAACACGTTGCTAGAGGATTCTGTTGCAATTCTTGTTCCACTGGAAACAAGGTGAGAATAAACCAGTTGATTCTTCATTTCCATGCTAGCAACCACCAAGGTAACAGCCAAGACATAATGGGAATGAAAGGGGAAGCAGCCCACCATCAGAAGATACTATAAACATTTTATGATGTATGCATTATTTACAAAATCTTCTACCCAACATATATAGGGTGAGCTCTGGGGAAGGGAAATACTGGAATTTGAAAAGAAGTATACCCCACAGTTTTGTGAAAAAGTAGAAAACTGAGAATACAAAGTACATGGGTTGCATTTAGAACAAGTTTTTGGTCAATCAACTTCTGAATCTGCAAGTGGACCAATTTGTAAGTACCTTAAGAAACTACTTTAGCAGTCTGATAAAAGGCGAAATTCACATTCCATTGCAGACTTGAGTCTTTTTGACTTTCCAGTACAGTTCAGTAGGAAACAGAAGTACTGTGGAAGAAGAACCTCCCCATGACCCACTATTTTCAGCCATGGTTATAGACCAGACCTAGTGCAGTTTGCTTTTTATTCTGACCTAAAGGGGACAGACCGAGCAAAAGAAATGCACATAAAAACAGAAAATTCACTGTAAATGGCAACAGTCTTGAAGAAATGTCTTGTCATTTTTATGGGTTGCTAAGCAATTTACCTGCATTTACCCACTGCCCCATAATGAAAATTTTACTCAAACTATAGTCTTTAGCAAAACAAGCAGCCATATATATAGGCTTTCCCATCAGCTTTGAAGAATTAAGCTTCCTATGATTTTCTTTGCAAATGAATGTTGGAATTCACATAACCAAAATGAGAAGCTGCTCAGGGAGAAGGGTTATCCCCACTGTTTTAGATTTAAGGAATGTTCTGCATTTCGAGGTCATCTGACACTTTTTCAAGAATATGCAACATATATTCTTCTTTTCAAGAAGATAGAACAATACTGCAAGCACTTCAGGACTCCTACTTTTATGTAACGAAAACTGGCAAGTTTCAAAGGACGTTCACAATCTAAAATTAACCTTAATGGGCTTGCCAAAGTTTATTTCTGGGAGTGCCTTACTGAGACATGCTCCATGTGAAAGGTCCTATGACATAGACAGGAAAGTAACTGACAGCAAAGGCAGGTGTTCGGAAGATTTCTTTTTTTTTGGAAGATTATTTTTTTTTTCAGTCTCTCTTTACCTCCTCCCACTGCCCCCCAATCTTCAAGAGATATTCTTTCTATCTCCTGAGGAAGACACAGAAATATAAGTGCAAATTGACTAAAAATAACTTTTTAAAGTCAGTAAGCTGATCATGTTTTTAACCTGAGGGCAAGTTTCACTAAAACAAACTTCTAAAAGAAAGAAAAGATTAGCAACAAATAAATGAATTAAAATAAACCACTGAGGCTGAGAAGGTTGGGGCTGTTCAGCCTGGAAAAGAGAAGGCTGCGTGGAGAACTCATAGCAGCCTTCCAGTATCTGAAGGGGGCCTATAGGGATGCTGGGGATGGACTCTTCATTAGGGACTGTAGTGATAGGACAAGGGGTAATGGGTTAAAACTTAAACAGGGGAAGTTTAGACTGGATATAAGGAGGAAATTCTTTCCTGTTAGGGTGGTGAGGCCCTGGAATAGGTTGGCCAGGGAGGCTGTGAATGCTCCATCCCTGGCAGTGTTCAAGGCCAGGTTGGATGAGGCCTTGGGTGATATGATTTAGAGCGAGGTGTCCCTGCCCATGGCAGGGGGGTTGAAACTTGATGATCTTAAGGTCCTTTCCAACCCTAACTATTCTATGATTCTATGATTCTATATGGATTCCATTAACTAATAACCTAAGAGGTTACTTTCTTGACTTTCTGGATGTGAAGGGTGAAGAACGGTATGCGTTAGAAAAGACAGAAGTCCAGGTTCAGTGTAACAGTAGTGGAAGCAGTGCCTACTTAAACACTTCTGCCTTTCTTTACAGAACACATAACCATAACTGACTATACATTAAATAGCTTAGGCAAGCCCAGCTGGAGGAATACTCTTTCTTACTGAAGTGATAGGCAGAAGCTATTTCATGGCTTTTATCTGTCCCTGTTCATAAGGAATATCTTTGTAATAGGATCTCCCACTTTCAGCCCACCTTCTGCTCCAGAAATTCAGGGTATCACAGCAATAATATGGTTCTACTCCAGTGACAAAGATGAAGGAGGAAATGGTAGCTTTCAAATCTTTCCTTCTCTTCCCCCCCCCCTCAAAATGTACATTCACTGTAAATGATACCTTTGGGCCCTTAGTGTTGTGGAAGAAAAAGCAGGATCTCTTTTTTTTTTTTTTTTCTTTTTGAGAAAAAATCAGTCTTTTTTTAAAAAACATCACCCTGCTTTTTCTGCCAAAAATAAATGCTACATTTTAACATATTTGCTGCCTTCTTTCCTTCTTACAAAATTGTTCAGCATTCCACTGTTCTGACCTTACTCTGGTGAGTTTTGCTGCCTTCCAAAGAGCTGGTGCAAAGCATCAGACTTCCAGCTGCTGAGCTCTGAACTGGAGCTGTATGAATGAGTGCTCTGGCTGACAAGTGTGCTACTTCAGGACTGGTTTAAGACAATAACCTGCACTTTCGCAAAAAAAATAAAAAAATTAAAAAATGTGGTGCTGTCAAATATTTCCAAGTATCCCGTTGGACTAGGGCTCTTAGTCAGACAACTGGTTGCTCAGTTGCTACTTAAGGGAGCTGATTTTAGTTTTTCTTCTGAGTACTAATGCACCTGCTGGACTGAGATCAGAGTAGAGCCATGAAGATGATCAGGGGGCTGGAGCAGCTTTCCTATGTAGACAGGCTGACAGAGCTGGGGCTGTTCCACCTGGAGAAGAGAAGGCTCCAGGGATACCTCATAGCATCCTTCCAGTAGCTAAAGCGGACTTAAAAGGAATCCGGAGAGGGACTTTTTACAAGGGCATGTGGGAAAGGCTTTAAACTAGAAGAGGATCAATTTAGCTTAGATGTAAGGAAAAAATTATTTACTGTGAGGTTGGTGACACACTGGCACAGGGTGCCCAGAGAAGCTCTGGCTGCCTCATCCTCGGAAGTGTTCAAGTCTAGGCTGGATGGCACTTTGAGCAGCCTGGCCTATAGCAGCAGGGCTGGAACTACATGATCCCTTTAAGGTCTCTTCCAGTCCAAGCCAATCTACGATTCTATGATTTATGACCAAATGCATGGATTGGCAACACTTCAGAACACGAGAAAATTTATGATGTATACTAAATTAGCACAAACAGAACTACTGACAGTATATTAATGAGCTTCTCTTGAGTTCAAACAGATTTAGGTAAGAAATGCCAAACTCAGATATTCAAGCAACATTAATTTTTCTTGTTATGGTGTGATTATTCACACATATTTAAGATGTCATGTAAGCTACTGAATGTGCTATCGGGTGTATCTTTAATATGTTGGTAATTTTTCATAAATTTAATCCATACAGTGTTTCAGGAGACTGAAGCAATGGATACAGCAGTAAACATGTTTATCTAATTTTGCATATTCAAAGCAAAGTTTCTGCGTCTGGGAATGGATTTTGGAGCTCATTCCCTATTCCATCATTTGTATCTTAACCCCATAGCAGCAGCAGCTTAAAATCAGTCATTTTCATTTTCAGTGCAGTGACCAGCTCCCCTACTTTCCAAAAGTGCTGTGACTAGCTAGCATCTCCTGTATTATCACCAGCAGAAGAAATGTTTTACCAACACAAAGATCTGATGAAAGAGCGTGAGCTATAATTAATGCTTTCATGATGATACTTATGGCAGAGTTCATGTCACCTATTATTAGACTTGTACCATATAGCCATCTACATTCATGCCAGGCATCTGCAAATCATTCTGCAGCCACAGCCTGGGCACAGGCCACCTGGCAGCACTAGTCTGCTTGTGCCAGTGATGCAGAGGTAGATATGTGAAACACCACAGCTCTATCTATGGCGAAGTCCTCACAAAAAATGGGACACTGAAATGTGAAGGAAGCCTGATGGTCCCTGCATGTACTGATTATTAGCGGCCTAAACACATTAGGGCACTCACGTATATGCTCCAGGTACATGCTCCAGGTAATTGAACCTTATTACAGAAAAGAAAGGAGATATGTTGATTTATAAAATAAGTTTTATTAAGGAAGACATTCAAAGTAATTTTAGCCTGATAAATAGCAAGCACTGAATATGAAAAATAATCCATTTCACAGTGACAGCAGTTTCAACTGTATTAATTCATCTGTCAGATCTTTTACAACTACCAGATAATATGTAAAGCTTATACTTTTATAAGAGGTCAGGCATATATTAATATGCCTCCAGTCTTTTACTAACTTAAATACATACCTGATGCTCTAAAAAGGTTTTATGAAATTGGTTTCTCATCCTTTCAATATTTTCAAGCATTACTCATTGTATCTAATAAGCTATTTTATTGCAAAGCATAAACCCATTATATTTTTAACAGTAGGCTCTGAAATCTAATTCTTTTTCCCAGGCAATAATACAGGGTTCTACAGTTATAAATCTTTAATGCACAAAGGTAATGATGGAGGACCACACTTACTATAGCTCACGACATTTTAATTAAAACATGTACTTACATTACTACATGAGCTAATCCAATGAACAAAAAAATACATTTCTTTTTGTTGTTTGGAAATACCTTATATGATAGCCAGTATTTAAAAAGACTTTTTAATTTCTGATATGCAATCAACAAATATTTGATGTAAGGCATTACAAAACGCAGAACAGAATTACGTACTCTATGTTTTTTGTGCTTTACAAAGAAAAAAAAGCTAAACCATTCACACAGCTCAAGGAAATGGTACAGAATTTTAATGAAGATTTTATTTTCTTTAAATGAATACGTACAATATTGAAGGCTAACATATTGT